GCTTTTTAGCACCTCTTATCTTGCCGTTCTCACCTCAGCTATTTTTGTTCAGGGGAAATTACACAATGCATCCTGTTACACAAGATGGTTTCTTTAATTAGAGACGGAGTGCGGAGAACGTGTAAATTTGTCCAGCCATGGTATTCACGCAAAGATTTAGACAAATTAAACAAGGATTCAATTTTCTCCACCTACCCTCTTCTTTCAAACGTTATGTACTCACCTAACTGCAGCAAAAACTGATAACTCTGCCTTAGTATGCGCGTTATTGTCGTGAAAAGCAAATATTTTTTCCTAAATATCTTGAGGTAATTATGCTTCCAACCTGTATTATGAAACAAAGCTTTTGTTGACCTGTGACAGCGTAGTTTCCCGACAATAGCTCAGCCGGTAACCAGTACATGGTCACCAGTTTCACCACTACCTACTAAACCGTTTCTTTCTGGTGACTTGACATGGGGGCACAAGTCATGCAAAGCAAAGGTCGAATGAGCTTTGTTTATCTTCTTATCAATTTTAGACTGTGTTTGTTTGTAAACGTACAAACGCTGAAGAAGGACTTTATTTTACCTATATATTAATGGGGAAAAAATGCGAGCCTCATTCTGTATATCTGTCGTTCTTGACACTTATTTGAAAGACTACTGTGTACAAAAAGAATTTCTGATAAAACCTTTGTAAAACAGAAATACAAACAGCAAAACAAACAAATAAAATCCCAACATACAGACAAACTAACAATTTTCGTTTTCGGTTTTATTACTTGTCGTTAAACAATACAGTTTCCACAGGAATGTTTGTTTAAACCACCCTGCTAATTCGTTTTTGGCCAATGAAGTCATGTCGCCTGCCACCCGAAGAACTGCTTACACAATTTTAATTCGCTCCAGTGAACCATTTGGCGAATGCCACAGCGTTAGACTGAGATGGCTAATTGTTGACTGGCTGCGAACCTCGTCCGATACTTTAATTTACACACGCTCTTCGACTGAAGGTAAACTTGTTGATAATTGCTCTTTTCAAAATTGTGACTCATCTCTTTGATGACTACTGTACTTCGTAGCTATTTGTAAATGCAAAAAAGAACCTGAAAAGAATTCCATCACGCAAATGCCAAACGTAAGCCATGAAATTAAGAAAACCACTAACACACATCAGCCAAATGTTTGAACTTGCCTATTAGATGTCAGAAAAGTGTTATCTTCAATAGAAACGATTTTCCAGCCTGGCTTACAACAGCATTGAGTAGATTAGCATCACGTATCAGGAATCGCGTGTATAGTCGTAATCCTGTCAAAAGTTTCCGCTGCAACGACGACAAGGAAGCCTGAGTAAGACCTAAACTACATTCGCACAGACGTGTACTTTTCTCAAATTATTTAATTCGCTCTGTTTTTCCGTGTTAGGTTTTATATCGTTGCTATATCTCGAAATTCATAATGAATCAAAGTTCAATCTATCTATTGAAAACCAAAAGTGTACTCAAAGCATCGTTAAAAGTAGTAACATCTGTAACATAAGATATCAATCTGATGGCATAGGTCCTGCACATACCAGGTTTTGGTGTTTTGAAATTTGAACTAAAAAAAAAAAAACAATTACTTCGTGGAAGCCAGAACTGAGGAATGTAAAAAGAAGGACCCAACGAAATGATGACGTCCATAAGTTAGACATTCTAGATGATAAACTGAATGAAAAGATCAACCAACATATGGATAACACACGAAGTGGTCCTCAAGTCATATTTTATGAAAAACGTTCAACCGTTACTTACATGTTACTACCCTAATCAAGCTTTCATTATCAGAGAGAAGAACAAAAGAAAGTTATTAAAATTACTGAGCCACCTTGTGTAACGACCATTTTACTTCTTAGTTCTAGTAAATCCTTATTCCACCAGATTATCCTGATATTTGAAAGCTAACAATGAGTTTTTCTTTGAAAATCTTAGCGATTGCAGGAAAAAAAAAAAAAGGAAAGCCGGAGCAGCAACTGGTTTACAAATGTTGACCATCCTCTTCATCTGCGTCACCCTATTTTTCCCCAAGACAACAGTCACTCAAAATGCAGTGCCCACACGTCCCTGGGCTCCAACATTTTACGATGCGTTGAAGGCTCGAGATTCAGTGATCAGCACATTAAACAATATGAGAAAAGGTGTCACCGTTAAGAAGATGCGGAGGGTTATGGCAAGTTTGGACGATCTTCCGTCAAAAATCGAAGGGCTTGGCAACCTTGATGTGTCCATAATAGAGACAGATATCACCTTGATGGGAAACCTGTTGAAATATACCGATAGACCCGAGGGCAGGAAACTTTTTCATAGCAAAAACTTGGAAAAGGATTATACGAAAGAACTTGGCCAAATGATCAAAGCGTTTAAGGGGTATCATAACTTTCGTTGCATTCAGGCATTATATTCATCCCCTGAAAGTTTACAAGGGTTTAATTTTCCTATTGAATACATGTGTTTTAAAGTACAGGATAAGTTAAGAAAGAAAAACAGGTATACCTTTTCAACGGACAAAATTTGTCATACCGTGAAGCGATGCACGGGAAGAGAAATGCAGTACCCATATGATTCCGATCAAGACGCAACCAACGTTGAGGATTCCTGCCTTGGAGATGAAGACCACTGTGATGTGGGAAAGGCGCTCCCAATGATGGGAAGTCTACTTTGGTACAAAGTGAGCAAATTTATTGCTCGAAGCCTTTGCCGAGAATACTTGCAAGAACCTGAAGAGTCGGCTCTATCTCAAGAGTTCGGGGAAATTAATGAGATGGTGAGAATGGTAATGGGTTACGCAAGCACAATAAATTGGGAACTTTTTTTCGAAGAAGCAATCAATCGAAGAGCATACTCAAACTTAGAGGTTGCCCTTGGGCTGGTGAGCGAATACGAAAAGTCCTTCTCGTCTTCACCAGTCGCTTGCTATGAGTTGGAAGCAGACGATGTGTGTATTTACAGCGACATCAACAAGGAATACCAGTTAGTAAGAAAGACACAACAATTACGACTTCATCCCGGTCAAACACGAAATCTGAGACCCTTCGAAAGAGTTAACCACGCAAAGATGGTGGAGCTAAAGCGAAGAGCGCTGGACCACATTGATGCACTAGGGAACATTAAGTCGGTTGACGATAATAGTGTTGACGCTACCATTGGAATTAAGAACTATCTCCTTAGACTTTCAGAATACGATCAAGGTATTGCGGATCAGGACGTAGCTTTTCTTTCAGGAAAGTTAACTGATTTTGAGTCCAAGGCATCAGCGATATCAGAAAAACTTGAAGAAGATGTTAGAAATGTTCTGATTGCTGCTAACACAATTTTGGGACTTCAGTTAGTCGACGAAATTGACACAATGGCGAATCAAATAGCAGAACACATGAACCCGTTAAAATGCGTCTTTGGTGGGGTGGATGTGGGCGATATGTTAGAACAGGTTGGAGAAATAGCGAAAGCTGTGGCACAGGTTGCTCAAAGTGCTCGTCTACTCGATACACTTAGTGAAGTTTATGACAAATCTTGCGACCTTACCAAGAAGTTTAAGGACAATGCAGGACAAATCAACAACCTTGAAACAGTGGTAGCTGCCATTAAAGAAAACACAGTAGATCAAATTGGACAGGACGCT